GGTCATGAGCACTTCCATGATGCCAAAGTTGTCATGGATGACCTTGGCCAGGGGTGCTAAGCAGTTGGTGGTGCAGGACGCATTGCTGACAATCTTGAGCGAGTTGTCGTATTTCTCGTGGTTCACACCCATCACAAACATGGGGCATCAGCAGAAGGGGCGGAGATGATGACCCTTTTGGCCCCACCCTTCAAGTGGGCCCCGGCCTTCTCCATGGTGGTGAAGACGCCAGTGAACTCCACGACATATTCAGCACCAGCATCAGCCCATTTGATGTTAGCGGGATCTCACTCCTGGAAGATGGTGATGGCCTTCTCGTTGATGACAAGCTTCCCATTCTCAGCCTTGACTGTGCCGTTGAACTTGCCATGGGTGGAGTCATACTGGAACATGTAGACCATGTAGTTGAGGTCAATGAAGGGGTCGTTGATGGCAACAATCTCCACTTTGCCACCAGATGGAGAGCAGAAGGCAGCCCTGGTAACCAGGTGCCCAATATGGCCAAATCCGTTCACACTGACCTTCACCATTTTGTCTACAGGATGAGGCTGGCACTGCACAAGAACAATTGGTGATCTCTGGAACAAGGAGGAACAGAGAGCCGGAGAGAGTCTTAAGAGTCAGCGGTTTTCTGTAGTGTTTGGGTCTCATTTCAACTCCACTCTGGCACTTTCTGTCTCCATGGGCTCATCTAATGCTTTTTCCACTTGTGATTCCTTTTTGCTGGAGTAATTTTCACATGACCTGTAGTTTAAAGATATAAGCACACAAATCAAATGTTTCCTGATAAGTCATATAATATTTACTTTTAAACATTTTTTTTTCTTTTTGGCTTTTGAGACAGGGTTTCTTTGCATAGCCCTGGCTGTCCTGGAGCTTACTTTGTAGACTAGACTGGCCTCAAACTCACAGAGATCTGCCTGCCTCTGCTTCCTAAATGCCGAAAGCAAAGGTGTATGCTACCACTGCCCAGCTTTAAAACAATTCTATATGTTCACATAGTTTTGGCATTTTAAAAAGTGAAAACAGATTTACATACTAATGAGAAGGATGGGCTTTTTATTTTTACATAAAGGAATTAGATATTGGCTGAATATTTAATACCGAGAGATGGAGAACATCTCTGATATATTTTGGAGCTGGCTAATATTTTGATTTTGTAATCCTCAAAGCTTCAAATGCCGCTTTTCATATATAAACATACCAAATAACAAAAGCATGCTTAGGGCCACTTCAGAAGTTCTTGTGAATTCTGTCCTAATCGTGAGTCAAAATTCACTGAATGATTCTTTATGAAAGATATTAACAACACAGACAGCAATTAAGAAAATTTTTATTATGTTTATTTATTTATCATATGTGTGCACATGCTTGGAAGTCAGAGGACAACTTGCAGGCACTTCTTGGCCTCCACCACGTGAGTCCCAGAGACTAAACTCAGCAAGCATCCTTACCTGCTCAGCCATCTCACTAGCCCAAGATATGATTATTAAAAATCCAACATTGTAACACCACATAACCCAGAGACTCAGACACTAACTTGATATTCACATGCCAAACAATGAAGGTGGGAACGTTTTAAAAGCTTCTGTTTACTCTCTGGAACTGTTCAGTTTCAGGAAGAGCAGACAATACAACAGCTGTGAGCCACAGCCAAGGTGTCCCCTGCAGCCTCAGCAGGCGTTGCATCGTGCAAAGTGTGAGTGCTGTGCGCTCAGAGCCAAGGCTGCAGTGACACCATGTGATTATGGTTGGGGTTAGATTTCATTTTGGGTTGTGTGAATTCAGATACTATTGTTGCCAGTTTTCTCCTGGCTTTCATGCCCAGTTTCAGGACCCCAGCATGCGGCTGCTGCTGGCTGTGAAGCCACTGTGCTCTGGGTGGTTGAGTTACAGCTGGTGTCCTTAGCTGCTATCTGCCCAGTTAGTTACTATTCTGGGTTCCTTGGGTCTTCTTAGTAACTGATTTCATCTTCTACTCTCTTTCTGCCTTTTGTAGTTTAATGTTTCCATTTTAGGAGAAGCTCAACTTGTTCCTCTCTCTGAAAACTGTTTCAGGAGCAGCCCAGAGTTTGCAACATGTATTTAGAAGCGGTCTAAAGTCCAGTCTGGATGAACAGTACACTATAGCATCTGCATGCGTTCTACTTCCTCTAGTACGTTGTGGGGTCTGGCTTGCCGCCCCTCCCCCTCCAAACTGGAGCTACAAGCATCCAGCCCACAGTTCTTTCTGCTTCAGCAAACTGGTGGCTGTCAGATCAGTTAAGAATAGAAACCTCTAGCTTTTACCCTGTTTACTCATCCCTTCTCTAGAGCTCGTTTTTAAAATGTAAATCATAGTTTTACGATATCATCTGGTTTTCATTTGTTTGGTCTCCTGTTTAGTCTGAGGACTTTTTTGTTTGTTTGTTTTGGTTTTGGACAGTCTCACTATGCAGCACTGGCTGGTTTGGAACCCTTTGTAGCCAGCACTGGCCCCAAACTCAGAGTGATCCACCAGCCTCTGACTCACAAGTCCTGGAAGGTGCGCATCACACAACATGTCCAGCTAGACGGGGTTTTTGACTCGTTGTACCCCTCTCTGAAGCCTTCTTAAAAGGGGCGGTCAGTGTGGCTTGGCCAATGCTTTGGCTTTTGTTTCTCTTGAGGTTTTAGTCTCTGAAAATGTCACAGGTGACTGAACCACAGGTTGACTTTCCCCTCTAGACAGTATTTTGCTCTGTTCCTCCCTCCTGCCCCCTCCCTGCCACACACATCATTTCTGCAGAGACGTCTGCTGAATTCTTATCGTTGTTTTTCTGTAGCCAAGGTATTTCTTCTTGGTCTTGTTTTAGGATGTTTCTTTCCCTTCATCTTTGGTCAGCTGCAGCTTGGATGTGATCTACTCACTCACATGCAGGTACAGTTTGTGTACCTATGGTTGGGTGTCTGCCATTGGTTGGAGAAGACCGCACACGGCTTCACAGAGTCCTGTGGTTCTTTCTCTCATTCTTCCATTCACACTGGTGTTGGCTAGTTTTAGGTCAACATGACACAAACTAGAGTCCTTTTAGAAGAAGGAACCAAGGTTAAGACGATGTCCTCACCAGATTGACCTATGAGGCAGCCAGTAAGTAAGCACTCCCAACTGCCTCTGCATCAGCTCCTGCCTCCAGGCTCTTGCCCTGTTTGAGTTCCTGCCCTGATTTCTGTCAGTGATGGAGTGTGATGTGGAGCTATAAGCTGAAGTAAACCTTTTCCTCCTCAAGTTGCTTTTGGTGTGTTTGAGCACAGCTGTTAGTGTAGCTAATACACTATCTCCTCAGTGTTTTGCCCTTGGACAGTCTGGTCTCTTTCTCCATTAGCTTTCCATTGCTTCTCAGTTTGAAGACACTGTATTAGCATCTGTGAGCTCACTGACAGACTCTCTTAAGTTCGGGAATTCACCATTGGTGCACCTGTGAGCTCATGGACTGTTCAGCTCTGTTCAGTCTTACAAAGAACTTGTGGAAGACTTGTTTGAGTTCTTCTGTGATTTTTTTTTAACTTGGACATCTCATTATCCCTTCCTGGATTTTTCTTCTCTGCTTACAGACCATCTGTTCTGCCATGCTGTCTGCTTTATTCTCTGAGGCCCTTTGCATGTTATTCAGAGTTACTTTAATGTCTAAGTCTGGGTCTAGTCTTGGATATCTTGTCGGGAGCTGGGCCTGATGCAAGAGGAACAGGAGCTGGTATTAGGGAAGTGGCTCTCCGCTTGGGGTTCTCTGTGGGACATCGCTTTGCCCTATGACCTCAGTCCTCTGATGGAGCTAAGAAATGTCCTTATTTTCACTTTGTTTACTTATCTTTAGACTCCAAATTTCTTATATGTTGGACTAGAAACTATATATTCTATTCATCTCTCCCAACATCTTCTCTTCCTTCTTTCCTCCATCCTTCCCTCTCACGTGTCCTCCGCACTCGCACTGGGCATCGCGCCAGCTTTGTGGCCATGTGGCAGGTATTGCCCTGACTGGAGCTTCTCTTATTTGGTGGGGTTTGGACTGGGCCCCGAGTGGCAAGGTCTGCTTCCCCAGAGACCTGCCCATTCAGAGACCTCAGTTGCTTGTCCTGTGTTGCTTTTGGCCATAGAAGAATGATCAGGTCAGCTCCAATTTTTTTTTGGGGGGGGGGTTCGAGACCCGGTTTCTCTGTGTAGCCGTGGCTGTCCTGGAACTCACTCTGTAGACCAGGCTGGCCTCAAACTCAGAAATCTGCCTGCCTCTGCCTCCCAAGTGCTGGGATTAAAGGTGTGAACAACCACCACCTGGCAGGTAAGCTCCAATTTGCATTATGAGCTGTGTAACCTGGCGCTTGGCTGCTGCATGCCTCAGTTTCCTCATCTGTAACATGGATGACAGAATTTTATCAGAAGGAACAGTTAACTCTGGGGATGAACCATCTGTTTCAGAGTGCAGTGCTTTCATTGGCTTGTGGGGTGCAGTGCACACACAGTGCCTCCTGCCTCCTGTCCTGTGAGGTACAGTGCACACACAGTGCCTCCTGCCTCCTGTCCTATGGGGTACAGTGCACACACAGTGCCTCCTGCCTCCTGTCCTGTGAGGTACAGTGCACACACATTGCCTCCTGCCTCCTATTTTCTGCCATGTACTTCAAGTGAGACCCTGGAGTTCCTTTAGAAACAGCACCCCAAGCTGCACAGAGGTCTGTATGCTACGGTTCACAGAAACACTGATGAGGTCCTGCATTCTCAAGAGGCCAGTACTAGAACAGAGTGGTACAATGTGGTCCTTTGGGGACATGGTTTAGGAGTTGGCTGGAGATGTTGGTCAGACCCCAAGGATGGTGAGACTCCATAATATCTTCCAGGTGATTCTATGGTAGCTTCAGTGAGCTATGATAGGCCAGGCTTGTGAATGGTAGGCCTTCTGAGAGTGAGGCAAGTGTTTAGCCCGGGGACGCTGAGGCTAGGGGGACACTTGCTATGTGCTTACTCAGCTTCTCTTCTCCCCCAACAGAGTCGCCAGTGATGGTGTGCACAGAGAACGAGTGGAGCCCTGCACGACTGCTTAGCACAGCAGAGCTGGTTGCTGTGCTTACTGGTGGGCGGGCGTGAACCTCAGGACCTCAGTGTCTCACTCCAAGAGGAAACATGTCTAAAAAGGGCCGCGGCAAGGGTGAGAAGCCCGAGACGGAGACGGACTCTGTGCAGATGGCCAATGAAGAGCTACGGGCCAAGCTGACCAACATCCAGATCGAGTTCCAGCAGGAGAAGAGCAAGGTGTGGTGGGGCCTCTGGTGCCACCTCAGGCTGGGCTGTGAGCACCGGGCTGTGAGGGTTGTAATCCCAGGCCTGAGCCTCAGCTGTCCCTTTGAGTACAGGAGGCAGCTGAGAAGACCACGTGGTGGTAGTTTTCTACCACAAACTGCCTGTGACCTTGGTGGGGCTGCGAGATTCTTTTTTTTTTTTTTTGGTTTTTTCGAGACAGGGTTTCTCTGTATAGCCCGGGCTGTCCTGGAACTCACTCTGTAGACCAGGCTGGCCTCGAACTCAGAAATCCACCTGCCTCTGCCTCCCGAGTGCTGGGATTAAAGGCGTGCGCCACCACCGCCCGGCCAAGGGCTGCGAGATTCTTTACGTTTCAGCTTCCCTTCTTTGTAAGATAGGGATCACAGTAGGGGTTATTGGCAATGAAGAGCCTGACTCTGTGACAGGAGCATTCTCACCCTGTACAGCATGTATAAGCTTTGGAACCTGTTGGAACAGTGCCTGGATGGGCACCCACATCCTTCAGGAAAACAATCAAAGCACAGCTCTGATGTCAACACAGTCCTGTCAGGGGACTCCAGCTTTCTGGTTCACAGACCTGGTAGCCTCCCTCTGGTTTAGCCAGATCTTCCTGATCATGAATGTGTGACTTAAAGTCTCCCGACACGTGTTCTGAGCTTGCTGGAGGCGAGCCAGCTGAGGGCTGTCCTACATGTCTGAGATAACAGCTGGGGGGGGGGGGAACCCCACGGCCACAGTCTTTGCTGCGGTAGCGGTGGTGAGATGGGAGGGTCTGAGATCCCTCACGGCAGGGACGTCACAGCCGCAGGATGGATTCTGCGGGAGCTGGTCTCATCACGATCGGAAGCTGAGCGCAGTTAGTATGAGCCAGTGTTCAGCTTGCTTTCTCCATTGCCTTGCAGCCCTGGAGACCCTGGCTAGGGTGCTCCACAGCACAGAAGAGTCTCCCCATATGACTTAACGTAATTAAGATAATCCTCCCGAGACACGTCCAGAGGCGCCCAGAGGCCCCTCTTCCAGTCGATTCTAACATCTGCCTGATGGATAGTTAATCCTAACAATCACAGATAGCATTTGGACCCAATAGAATGCCCTCATTTTATACCTGTCTGCTCATTACAAGTCCCCTCGCCAGTCTAAGGCATCAAGGATGGCATCAGGTTTTCAGCAGCCCCCATTAACAAACTGAGCGTCAGTTGGGCACAGGATGGGATGGGTGTCTGGCTGGCAGGGTAGAACCTGAAAAGACTCAAAGTCTGAGGTAACGTGGGGAACAGTGATGGCGGAGGGAAGGACATACAGATTCTGGCTGTAGCCTGCCAGTGATTTATTCAGTCTCACAGCAACTAGTCCATACTGTACTATCCATTCCAAGGCTGGAACTAGCCTTGGTCTGCAGATGGGAGTCAGACCTTGACCCTACTCTCAGGGGGTTAGTTGGCCTTGGTACACCAGTGGGGTGGGAGTCTTGTTCCCAGGCCTTGGGTGTCAGGATCCTGGGCTCTTGCAGTAGCTGCTGTTACAGCTCTTAGGTCTTAGATGTTGGGACCCTTAGTTCTTTGGGCTTGACAGTTCCTTGAACCTCTGCCAGCCCCTAGGAACTGCAGCCTCTGGCCTTTGGCTTAAAAAGCCTGTTGCTGCTGAAGTCTGCTGCTGTCTTTGCTTTCTGCTTTCTTTGTACTTCCAATATCCTGAGCCATCTCCTGCCTTGGCTCCAGGCTCTCTTTGCCCCATCACTTTGCTGGCTTCATGATGACGGTGCTGTCCCTACCACTAAGGCAGCAGCAGTTGTCACCACCTCTGCTACCACCCGTATCTGCTCAGCCTGCCTTACCCATGGTGAAGCTCACAGTAGACAGAACTTCTTAGGAGAACCTCTTACAACACCAGGGGGCAGCACAAGAGGATGTGTCCCCCGGGTCAAAAAGTGAGGGGTACAGTCAGGCTGTGTCCTGGAGGGGTCATGGCAGGGAGTGGCATGAAAATGTGGCATTAATAATTCCTACCAACCACAACACCACTTCCAGCTCTACCAAGGTCCAGTTACAGGCTTTGCACTGCCTCAGTAACAAACTTTCTTGTGTGAGGGAAGTGCCTTCCTCTAGTGAGACAGCTGTTGGGTGAGCCAGGTCCTCTACAGTTCACAAAACCCCAAGGCTGAAACCCTGTGTGTTAGTTACTCTTCTCACTGCCGGGACAACAGAGATTCTGACATAAACAGCCTAGGGGTGGAGAGCTTTATGGAGGACATGTTTATTCTGACCCACCTTTTCAAAGGACTCATCCATCATGGCCGGGGAGGTGTGGCAGAGCAGAACCAACAGTTCATGTCAGGGAAGCAGAAAAAGGAGGGCAAAATAAAATAAAATAAAATAATAATAATAATAATAAAAATTAAAAAAAGAAAAAAAAGAAAAAGGAGGGCTTGCCGGAGCCTAGCTGGAGTCCTCTCTTTCCATATTAATCCATCTGGGCCCCCAGCCCATAGGATGGTACCCTCCATCTGCAGGGTGGGTCCTTCCCCCTTAGGTAGTCCTCTACAGAGACATCCTTACAGGCAACTTCCAGAATCCTCATCTATAGGGTGAGTCTAAAATGTAGTCAAGTTGATGGTGAAGTCTACCCGTTGTCAGTTTGACATGCAGACACCTCCCCTTAAACCATAGCATTCCATCCTGGATCCCCCAAAGCTCATCCATGTCCATCTCATGATGCAAAATGTGTTCAGTCTGTGTCTATGAGTCTCCAAAACCTTAACACTTCCAACACTGTTTAAAAGTCCCACGTTCAAAGCCTCTGTGTGAGACTCAAGGCAATCTCTTAGCTATGAACCCTTGTAAAACTCCAACAGACCTATATGTTTCCCAAATATAATGGGTCAGAGCCATGAAAGGACCATAGGAACAAAGCAAAACAGACAGAACCTCTGCAGGGCAAACACGAAATCCTGTAGCTCCACGTTTAGCACACAGTGTCTCAGCGTGGTCTCTGAGGGCCTCGGGCATCCCCACTCCCATGAGCTGTGTCCATGGTTGGCTTCCCTTGTTGCCTGCAGCCTTTCTCAGCAGGTGTCTCATACATTCCTGGCACCTCAGACATCCTGGTGTCTGTATTGTGCCTTAGGTTTCACATGTTGTTGGCATAGAGACTCCTTGAAGGGACTCTTGCCTTGCAGTGCATTCCCTGGCTTCTCAGACTTCCCTTTAAAAAAGCTTCCCTTAAGCCCTGTCACTCTTGTATTCTGCATCCCAGTAAGACCACATGGATTATACCAAGGCCTCCAGTTTGAGTAGACCTGGAGCCATGGCTACTGTATCCTCAGTGCTTGGACAGCTGAACCTAGGAAAGCACTTCCTGTCTCTGCTGTGCGTGAGCAGGTCCCCAGCTCCTGGGTCCTCTCTAGGGAATGAAAGTCTTCTCTTCATATTTCTCCCCAGAAACGATCACAGTCATATCTACGTGTTCCTCACCATCTCGCAGATAATTCTAAACCTTGTCAGAATGCCAGTGAGGCCATAGCATCAGTTGTCTGAGGTAGGTAGGCTGGAGCAGGATCAGATTCAGCTGCAGTGTTCCTTGTGTTTGGAGGGTGCTGTTCTTAAGGCATCCATGGACTGTTTGAGTCTTGATGCCCTGGCAGTAAATTCACCCGGAGAGCTCCAGTTCCAGCTGTGGGGAGGTGACCAGTGATGGATGGCGCCATGTTTTGTTTCTGTGATTGCATGTGATGTCAAGGAGATACTGGTCTCATGCATCTGCCTCAGGGCAGCTCTTTTGCATCCAGTCCCATTCAGGTCTGCCAGGCCCTCTGGCACAAGGTAATAGTGGTGCCAGCCATCACTGACTCAAGTTCCCTGCCCATGGGCACTAAAAAACGCTAATTTGTTTAGAATCTTCCTTGGCCTCCGTTCTGTCTTTAGTTTCTTGTCCTTCCTGGTTCAGAATCGAAACATCCTCATGGCTCTCCAGAGAAAATCATTAAATACTGTGGGAAGGGAGATCCGGAATGGGGTTGGGGTGGAGGGCAGAATTGTGGGTGTGGCCCGTAGGAGAACTAGAGGGTGGAGACAGGAAGAGTATTGAGTTGAGGCTACTCCTGAAGGATCCGACCCTAACCCTGCCACTGTTCCCGCTGCAGGTGGGGAAGCTGCGGGAGCGTCTGCAGGAGGCCAAGCTGGAACGCGAGCAGGAGCAGCGTCGCCACACGGCCTACATCTCGGAACTCAAGGCCAAACTGCACGAGGAGAAGACGAAGGAACTGCAGGCGCTGCGCGAGGCGCTCATCCGGCAGCACGAGCAGGAGGCAGCGCGGACCGCCAAGATCAAGGAAGGTGAGCTGCAGCGGCTGCAGGCCACGCTGAATGTGCTGCGAGATGGCGCCGCAGACAAAGTCAAGACTGCATTGCTGGCCGATGCGCGCGAGGAGGCGCGCAGGACCTTTGATGGCGAGCGCCAGCGGCTGCAGCAGGAGATCCTCGAGCTGAAGGCTGCGCGCAAACAGGCGGAAGAGGCACTCAGCAACTGCATGCAGGCAGACAAGGCCAAAGCCGCGGACCTGCGCGCTGCGTACCAGGCGCACCAGGATGAGGTGCACCGCATCAAGAGAGAGTGCGAACGTGACATCCGCAGACTGGTACGTAGAGTCTCTCCCCACAGCACCCCTCCCCTAAAGCACATGGGGACTACATGCTCCAGGCAGGCACTGTTGGAGGTACAGGGGCGCCCACAAGGTCCTGGCTGCCCCTGGAGTGGTAGTAGGTTTAGGATGGCAGGTTTCTCCTAGAGTATGGTTCTGGGAAGATCTGTAAATTGTCAGGAGCTCATCTCCATGTGGGGCTTGTGGATGGGAGACTGAGTTGCTGTAAGAGAGGACCTGACTGCAGAGGAAAGGCAGGGGAGGTTCAGCCCTTCATTCACTTGGACTGGAGTGGGCTTTACATTAGGGTGAGACCCAGGGTTGCAACATTCAGGGAAATGTAAAGTGTCCCCCCACCCCAAAAAAGGGAGTGGGGTGAGAGCTGTTAAGTTTATTTGACTCCCATTCCTGAGAGGAGACCTTCCCAGTACTAATCACCACCAGCTCTAGCCTGTGTTCTAAGTCTGAGCGGGTAGAAGTTTTGATTAAGAGGTGAGTGGGACTTTGAGCCATCTCTGTGGTGACAGGAAGGAGCAGTGCTCAGACTGGGCCAGCTCACCCTGGTAATATTCTTCTCCCATCCAAATACTAACCAGGCCCAACCCTGCTTAGCTTCTGAGATCAGACCTTAAGCATGGTATGGCCAAAGACTGGTAATAGTCTTCTTAGTCACTGAAGGGATATGGAAGGTCGGTGGGGACCTGCAGGGGATAGTGTCACCTTCCACAGCTCTAGTAGTCACAGGATATGGGGCTCTGTATGTGTATGGGACTGTGACAAACAGCTGTGTGCCCCTCAAGGCCCTGGGCAGCCTGCAGCAGGGTGGCACAGCGTACTAACACCTCAGCTACCTTAGATTCTCAGACTGCATGAAGTGGTGATGTTTAGGAGAACCACTGCAAAGGCCAATGGCTGAGTTAGGTGCGACGTAAAGAGGCCATGTACACGCTGACCCTGAGTGTAGCCAGCCTGGTGACAAAGATGTGAAGGACCTAAGTCAGGAGGTCACCCTAACCATACACAGGAGCAGCACTTAACAGTGAAGGGTTTGGTAGGAAAGCCTAAAATTTCAAAACTAGGCAGAGGGAGAGTCAGGCCCCTAGCTGGGTTGGGGGAGAACCTCTCTGAGTACACAGACCCACCCAGGCAGCCCACAGTGTTGCTCTTCGGGAGGCGACATCGCACACTTTAATTAAAAGTCATCTGCGCTTCAAAGTGTGAGGATTCTCAGTACTATGTCAGTCCACAGAGCAAAGCATGCTGTAGATGAAAGAAATACTGGAATCAACCATCTTTTGAGCTGCCTTGTCTGGCAGAAAAACAGACAATTGATTTCCCAGGAAGGAGTCTGGCAAGGTGGCTCAGTAGGTAAATTACTTGCTAATAATTGTGTAAGCCTAATGAACTAAGATCCTTGGGAACCCTTGGTCGGAGGAGAGGACTGATTACATCATACCACAGCCCATGGCTTCCCATACTCAAATATAATTGTCGTATAAACACACAATGATAGTAATAGCAATAAATATTAAAATTTCACCTCTCAGAAAGTAGAGTAAGGAAAACCATAAAGAGCAAGAATTGCTGAAGATAAAAGCCAATAAAGAAATCAAGTTCAGAGAGGGGAAGCCCTTGGTCCCAGGGAGGTTGGATGCCCCAGAGTAGGGGGATGCTGGAATGGTGGGGCAGGAGAGTGTGGGTGGGAGTGCATTCTCATACAGGCAAAAGGGAGGGGGGGCAGATGTGGGATGGGGAGGTGGCGGAGGGGCAACCAGGAAGTGGGATATCATGGGATGGGGGGTTGGTGGAGTGGGTAACCGGGAAGTGGGATATCATTTGAGATGTAAACAAATGGAATGATTAATAAAATTTTTTAAAAAAGAAATCAAGCTCAGAAAAGAATCAAAATTGGTAAGTTGATGCACTGTTCGCAATATGTATGAAGGGAATAGAGGCTTTAAGTCACAGGGGCTGGAGGGTAAGTCACGGGAGAAAGGGATCCTGACATTGAAGACACTTTAGGTAGCGTAGATCAACAGTTAAGGTATACTTAGAGGAAGTGACAGTACCACATCCAGATCAACACTGTGGGATAGAATGTCCCATAGCCTGTAGCTCATGGTACTGCCACACTTAAGAAGAGCCTCTGCCTGGCGCCCTCACAGGAAAGTCTTCTACTTACGGAGGAACTAATGAATCCTTACTGCATCGGCTATGAGGCTGGGCGCTGGGATCCAACATCTGACAAGAAGCTTCTCGAGGAAGGAAGGACTCATTTTGTCTCACAGTTTGGGGATGCAGTCCATCCTGGTGGTACAGTCCATCCTGGTGAGGAAGGCCTGGTGGCAGGAGCAGGAAGCAGCTGCTCTCCCTGCACTCGCAGTCCCTGGAAACAAGGAGAAATGAATACTAGTGCTCAGCTGACTTGTGTTTACTCGGCCCAGGAGCTCCACCATGGAGTCCCCACTGGTCACCACTACAGTGGGCAGGGAGTCCTGCCTTAATTAAACCCCTGGAAACATCCTCATAGACACATCCAGAGGTGTGCCTCCTAGGTGATTTTAATCCTGTCAATACATGATTAGCCCACACAGGTGAAAATGCATCCAGGAAGTAGAAAGGTATTCAAATCCTTATGATGCCAGCACCAGCCAGAGTCCAAAGCAGTGACATGGGAAGACCTAGGGAGGGAACATTCTCTCTTAAGAACTTAGTCATAAGAATGCTGAGTAAGTATTAACCAAGAAAGACCAGGGCTCTATGGGAAGGCTAATAAATCTTGGGCCAGGTTAACTATGAAAATGTAAGGATCTGCTTAGTATTTACAGATTTAAAACCAGAGTGTTTTATTTAACCTACCCCTCCCTCCCTCCCTCCCTCCCTCCCTCCCTCCCTCTTTCTCTCTCTCTCTCTGGTGTTTTGAGATGGTCTCACTTTGTAGCCTTGACTGGCTTGCATCTTGCTATGTAGACCAAGCTGGCCTCAAACTCATAGAGATCCACTCATAGAGGCCACCGCATGCGCAGCCTGTGGCAGTCTGGCAACGTAATAAAGGATTAAACCCCATGTGGCCATTTTTGTTGATGCATTCAGAACATTTTAAAATTGAGCTTACTGACAGACTCTTAGCATGTCTGGATTAAAATGGAGTTGCTCTAATCTGATAAATCGTTCTTTTGGAAATCTGCTAACAATGTTTGCCATAATGATCAACCAGTTAAGGTTTCCCACTCAAGTTCAGGACCAAACCAGAGTGACCCTTACCACCACCTCTTCTGTTCAGGTTGTACTAGCCAGGGGGACAGTATACAGAAGACCCAGAAGAAGTAAGTTCTGAAGGTTGGATGAAGGGGAGCCTAATTACATGTGAATGATGCCGAGACACTGCAGAGTCTCAGGTCTATCCCAGTTGTCCCAGTCTGTTTTTTAGCGCAGACTGGGTAATGGTGGAAAGGGGAAAGCCAAGGTTACCACTGGGTTCTGTGTCTGACGAGTCCCACAGACCAGTCCCTGCTCCCAAGATGGCATCCTCAGAGCCATGTCCTCAAACAGTGGTTGGCACAGGATGGCAAAAGGGAGGCACACAGTGGCCTCAGCCTCTCCTACAAGGTCACCAATCTCATGACTTCTCAGAACTAACAAACACATTTGTCCAAGTTCTGATACAAAGTAGACACAAAATACCTTTTGTTTCTGTGTACTAGCCGTGGCCCCACTGGAAGGGGGAAAACTTTTAAGAAGTAGGAAAAAGGCTCCAGGAACAACTGTAAGGCAAGTTGTGCAGGGTTTCTGCCAGGCTAGAAACCTTGCTGAGAAGGCCTAAGGGAGAGCCGAGTAAACTGTGTATTGATGAGAATGTCCATGAAGGTAAGTGCAGCTAGCCAAGCTGACTTATTTTCATGGACTTGTGTGTGTGTGTGTGTGTGTGTGTGTGCTTTCGAGAGAGAGAGAGAGAGAGAGAGAGAGAGAGAGAGAGAGAGAGAGAGCGCATGGGGGTGTGTGGAGGTATGTGGGTTTGACTAAGGTTTGTCTTACCCCGTCCTCATATTCCCAATGACGAATAGATCAGTTTGATTCCCTAGAGTTCATCCAGGGGAACCAATGAGTTTGGGTTGTGGCAAGCGTGTGGGTAACCATAATAGAGCTGCACTGGAGGGTGTGTAGCCAGCATGGATGGTGGCTTCTCCGTGCCTGTGTAGATGATGACCTTCTCAATAACAACCCCACGTCTGGATGTTCTAGCTCCTCCCTGAGGTCCTAAAACCAAGTTCTATTAGGGCAGAGTTGCATGGGAGGAGTGGCTGGATACTCAGGGAGGGTTCAGTGACTGTCCCTTCCCTTTCATGTGAGGATGTCAGTGGTCAAGCCCAGCTGGGATGAACTTTTGTGAACAGATGTGGCAGACATATGAAGATAGTGTTTGTCTTTGGAGGGTATCGCTGTGTAGCACGGACATTGGCCAACAGATTCTAGGTTAGTACTAAACATTTAAAGGGGTTGGAAAGGCAAGAGTGTGTGTTTGTTTGTGTAGCGTGTGTGTGTGTGTGTGTGTGTGTGTGTGTGCAGCTTCCTGCTTGCTAGACAAATGCCCTATCCCCAAGTAGGAACAGAAGGGTCTAGAAAGAGACCTGTAGCTATGGGATCAGTCGACGTAGGAGCAGGCTAGCTCTGCAGTGCAGTGGGGAAAGGATGTCATCTCAGTGAACAGCACTGGGGCAGGGCGGTGTCTGTAAGGAATTGTTTCTGCTATGACATATTTACAGCCAAGACACCTCCTACAGTGGCTGGAGTGGCTCAGTTAAAAAGACCAGTAGTCCTTAGAAATCACTGGAAACCCCGTGGGGTTTCCACACATGGAAGCCTTGTGAAGCAAAGCAATCAGAACAAGTCTGCTGGTGTGGGAGTCCAGACCCAGCCACAGCACTCTCTGAAAAGGGGAGCATGAACAACATACTTTCCAAAGAATGGGAGCTCAGCTGTCTCGAAAGCTGTTCAGGCAGGAAAGGGAAGAATGCCTAGGAAGATGCACTTAGGTTTATCTGTAGTTTAAACCTCCAGTGACTGCTTGAATAAGGCACTGCAGTGTGCTGAACACAGTGAAGAAGATGTCTGACCCGCGGAAGGGGAGACCTGGGCCATGAACGGATTCACACTCCTGTCAATCATCCCGTCTTACCTGAGGTGTGAGACTTCGATCCAGAACAAACAACAAACAAACAGAGGCTCAGCTGAAAGTTAATTGAAGAAATAAGTTGAGGTAGCAGAAAATTCATGCCAGAGGATGGTCAGAAGAAAGGGTCCTAGATGTTTGGCTGTGACAAGGAGGCGAGAGAGGGAAGAAGTAAACATCACATCTGAGCACAGAGAAACCAACCCCATTAAAAAAGTGCTCACTTTCCCTGAAGGACAAAGAAGAATTGCTATGCACATCGGAAATTAATAACAATGTGAATAGTGGCATATTCAGTTAAAGGGATGGTATAGAAGAGGACATGTCTGGTGTGTACAGGAACTTGGGTGACTCTAGTCATGTGTCAGGAGAAAAAAGCCAACCCAAACATGAGGGCAAAGCCACCCTATGGTGCGACTGTATCTCTACCACGCAGGAGAAGGGAAAAGAGGAGGGTGGAATTGGAGGACGGAGCAGAAGCTGCCACCAGGGTGGGTCCCTGAGGAAGAGCCTACAGGAGCCCCCCTGGGTGCTTGCTAATGTCTTCTTGCTTGCCCCAGGTGGGTGCATCACCTCAAAGATATCCAAGACAGTCACCTGCCTGTACAATGCTTGTAGATACCTGAGCAAAACTTGGCAAGTTCTGGGGTGACTGAGATCACGTGGTAGCTGGCTGTACAGAACTGCACCATGCAGGGACTCTCTCCCGAGGTCTGTCGCTCTCTGAGCAACTGGACCGCCTGCCCTGTGCAGACTGGGCCCATTGCCTGAAGCGTTGTGGACTCCTGCACTCAGCAGACACCTCCAGCAAGAGGTTAAGTGATACAGAGAAGGAAATGCACACACAGCAGGGGTTTTGACAAGTGGATATATCACTGTGCTGTCTTCTGTACTGATTCTGAACCAATCAAGAATCTAAAGCGTCCAGCAGAGGAGGAAGGAACAAGTTACCGCCATCACCAGCAAAGCTGGGCCAGGGAGTAACAGGTTTGCTGAAGGCCAGGACGGCTTGTAACTTCTTGTTCATGTCTAGACTCTGTAGCAGCCTATGGGATGGAAAGCCTGAAGCTGCAGAATAGGTAGTTATGCAAGGCCTGTCTCCCATGGCCGAGGAAGAGAAGATAAAGGGAAAGCTGTCCATGCTCTGACCTTCGTGCCTTGGTTCCACAGAGTTGAATCACATCAAGGGTAGTCATTTCCTCACTCCAGGAAGCCCAGACACTTTGTTAGGAGTGCCCCCCGACCCCAAAAGCTCAGGCATATAGACTTTGGCTTGTTTGTTTGCAGGGGCTGGGGACCAGCAGAAAGTTAAGCAGATGCAGATATTGACTGGCTCTGCTTATTAGAAAAGCAGAGTGCCTTTTTATACAGCTGGATTTGGGGACCAGTAAGGCCTGGGGCTTCCCTTGCCTATGTGACCCCCCTCTCCACCTTTAGTTGGTGTCATTGACAGACTAGGGGGATGGGATGGCTATGGGAAATGTAACCCAGTGACATTTGGTCTCCAGGCAGAAGCTGGAGGGGTGCTGAATGCTGGATTGGGCTACTTAGTCTAGTGAAAGACATGGAAGTCACCATCCCCCTTGACTCCTTCCTAGAGCAGAGCACCTGGAAGGTCTCAAGAGGCAAAGGGCAGGGACCCTTACCAATTGACAATGGTGGCACCCACTTCTTCCCCAGTGAGAGGGTCACCAAGTGCATACATGGCACAGGGCTCAGGGCCTTTGTCCTGGATCTTCCATGTCCTTTGCTGATCTCCAGGCCTGTTACAGCTGTTCTTCAGCTCCTATGTCAGGCTCCCTGTGAAGAAGACCTCATGCCTTGGGTCCCCTCTGCCTGAAAATCCCACATAGACTAGACCCCAAGCCACCTCATCACTCAGACTCTTCTCCGTCTTCATGGTGGCATTTCTCAGTATTCTTGGGGATAGGAGTCCAAAATCAAGGCAACATCAGCGTCATGCTCTCTCTCTAGGCTTTGGAGAAGGACCCCATCTTTTCCAGGTTCTGGTGGCAGCTACCTGTCCTTGAAGCTCCTCGGAGTGTGGCTGACTCCTTGCAGTCTCTGCCTTCACCCCCACATCTCCCCATGCCTGTACCCAGCCCTTGGATTTGGGGCCCATCCTAACCTGTAGGTGTCATTTTCATGGCCATCATTGTATCCGCACAGATCCGATAGCCAAGTAAATCCATGCTCTGACTCTGTAGGCTAGCATAGCATTTGGGGGACACTGCTCACCTGTTACAGGTGCCAAGCTTGACAGTGAGAGTGGCTGTAGCAGTGGTGGCCCCTGCCTCTGCTTTTTGAACCTTGCAAACTTTGCAGAGAAGTAGAGCTCACAGAGTTTCTAAAGACGGAGGTTGGTTGCTGCCCCAACTGTGATTTCCACTGTCTTGCACATCCTGAGGTTTGCCTTCCAGAACCAGTTTTACAGTGTGGATATGAGAGCTGGGAGGAGCCACCAGGGTTTTCCTGCCAATCAGGGCACACTTGCCTCTCTGAGATCAGGTTTGTGGGTCTTGGGTGAACCAGGTCTATTTACAGGACTTTGAAGGGAAGACAGGCCTATGCCTTGTAGAGCTGAGAGAGTAACAGTGGTCACAGGCTGATGACCTGCTGGTAAGAACTCAAGTTCTATCTGTGGTTGACAGGAAATACCCCAATGATCTGACCCGAAAGCTTTACAACCTTCTTGGTCTCCTAGGGTAGGGCTATGAGCTCACTAAGGGCCCTTAGTTCCAGAGCGAGCCCTAGGATGCTAAACCCAAGGTGTCACCAGGACCATGTGGTCTTGAAGCCTCTGGAGGAGGGTCCTTTCCACATTTCCTAACTCCTGGGGTGGCCCACGGTTCTTTGTTCCATGGCTGCGCAACTGTTTTTGTAAAGGAAACACATCCAGAGATCCCAGAGAAGATGGAGATTCTGGGTGACACTCTAGCCAGGGCCCTGTTCTCACAGAAATACTTCCCTAATGGTTAGTTTCAAATGAATCAGTTGAAGTATGGTCTGGGGTTCCTCTGCCAACCTCTTTCAGTGTGATTCCCTGCTCTGTCTAGCCTGCCATGCTAAGCTCTGTCTCCTGTTTGGTGTGCTGCCCCAGGAAAGGCTGGATTTGACTGGAGTAAGCAAGGGTTAAGTGTCCCTCTGTACCCAAAGAGGGAGCTCCACATGCCTGGGAAGGGGTTCCACTGGAGGCCAAGCAGGGTTTAGGTGGTTCTGTGACTCTGAGATTCAGAAGGAAGTTAGGATTGGGGACATACATTTCTGCATCAGTTGTATGTAGGATAGAGCCAGCCATGAACATCTTGGTGAGGGGGTGGGAGGCAGGGACAGCCACCTCTGGAAGAAACGTAAGGAAGCAGGATGGCTGGCCTACTTGGGGATGATAAGGAACTGATGGGTTAGAGGAGCCTTAGGATGCTGAGTTTCAGTGGAAGGTGTCCATAACTCTGTAGAGCCTCAGACCTAGGACTGTGTCTTTTAGTGTTTGTGAGATTAGAGGTTCTGTGCTGCAGACGCTGGCTGCCCCACACCAGATCACTCCCAATTCAGTGAACTCAGCCCCAGCATCAGTCCAGAGTCTGGCAGGGACCGCCCACCCTGGTCCTGAGCCCACACCTGATGACCCCTCTTTTTTTCCTCTACCAGATGGACGAGATCAAAGGAAAGGAGCGGGTGATCCTGGCCCTAGAGAAGGAGCTTGGTGTGCAGGCCGGGCAGACTCAGCGGCTGCTGTTACAGAAGGAGGCTCTGGATGAGCAGTTGGTCCAGGTCAAGGAGGCAGAACGCCACCACAGCAGCCCAAAGAGGGAGCTTCCTCCTGGCATTGGTGACATGGCGGAGCTTATGGGTGGCCAGGTGAGGGGTGGTGTCTCCTGCTCATCATAAAGAAAACCACTTATCTACATCCTTCCTCTGCTGGCTGCTGTCCTACTCAGCTTCCTGGCTCTTCTCTGGCCTTCCCTACCCTCTCACACTCCACTCCTCCCTGAATCCTTCCCACTTTACTGATATTCAGTGTGTGCCAGGCCCAGCGCTCAGCACTGAGAAGATATTTGTGAAGAACTGGCTGGCTGAGCCTGCTGTGGCTGGAGTTGCAAAAAATCTATGGAGGTCTCAGAGCAGGATACACAGCTGGGGCTCTGCAAGGAGGAGGCCCCTGGGCAAGTCAGAGGTCCAGAGACCAGCAGGGTTTCCTCAAAGTGCCAGGGCAAGCATCAGCACAGGAGATGTGTGTGTGTGTGTGTGTGTGTGTGTGTGTATGTGTCTGTCTGTCTGCCTTAGGAGTAGCGACTACCAGGCCCTTAGCAAAGATAGGCAGTTGAAGTAAGTCTTCCCTCCCTCTGTCCCTCTGACCCTCTGTCCCTCTGTCCCTCTGTCCCTCTGTCCCTCTGTCCCTCCGTCCCTCTGTCCCTCTGTCCCTCCGTCCCTCTGTCCCTCCCTCCCTCCCTCCCTTTCTTCCACTCTGCCTCATCAGATGCCATGAATGCTCTGTGCTGGATGTGCGTTAGGTGCTGATGTTTCAGAGTTGAGCAAGACAGCCGGCTGTGAAGGAATGTACTAGCATATTCGAGAAACCACAACAACACGCAGTGGGTCTTCACAAGTTCACTGTGTGGGTGGGAGCTTCAGCCTCCTGGCTGGTGTTTGAATCCCACTGAGGATTTCAGTCTCAGGCAGGTTGAGGTGAAGTGTCCCCAGGAGGATGAACTGGTATGTCTGTCAGTCTGCCTCCTCGTTGAGCACAGGGTCCTCTAGACAGGGCCATCCCTGTTGTGTCTTCACGGGGTCTCCATAGGCTCCATGGAATCATCTGAGCTTCTTCAAAGTTTTTATTTTTAGGATCAACATATGGACGAGCGAGACGTGAGGCGGTTTCAACTGAAAATTGCTGAACTGAATTCAGTGATTCGGAAGCTGGAGGACAGGAACACCCTGCTGGCGGATGAGAGGAATGAACTGGTAACCACCCAAGACACATGGCATCTGTGGACACGAGGAAGGGCCAGGGCCGGAAATGGATGCTGGATGCTGAGGGGGCATCTGGTTTTCTTAACTTTCTTTCCTCTCTCTCTCTCTCTCTCTCTCTCTCTCTCTCTCTCTCTCTCTCTC